GCTAATTTAATTCCACCGGGCTTCCATCCACCTTTCCAGCAGTGCAACGTTCACCGTTGTGAGACAGTTTATCACCATTACCAGATGACAGCTAAGGGGGGAGCTGTCCTTTTCATGCAGCGCATGAAAATTGCCATTCCGCCGCCGCGTTTCACCTCCGCATTTGATTTCCACCTTCCACCGCTGTGCTGTGGTAGCTTCCCCCGTCTCCATCAAAATGCCTCGTCAATAACAGCTGCCAATAAATCAGTCCATTTGATCCCAGCGTAATTCCCGACTTTGCATTCACGGCAGGCTTTCGCCTTTTGCCATCTGTGCGCTCCCTAATCACTTTCCCGCGATGGGCGGCGCGGTGCTATAAAGCGGCACCTTCAAATTGGAACGCACACATTTTCCACATGGGAAATAAAATAAAGTGGACTGATTTGCTCAGGATCAAAACATTTGGTGATGAGGCTATAAAAAAAAAAATAATAATAAATTGACTGTGATGGTTACTGTAATGAAATACAACAAACCTCCAAATTGAAACACAATCAATCCATTATGTAGCATTGGTTGGCTTGCAAATTCTTTCAAATTCTTCCCCACGGGAAAATTCCAGGTTCCAATTGTGGCCTCCACCAAAGCTTTGCTAACTGTGCAGGCAATGTTTTAAGAAGCAATTCAACTTCCCTATCGGTGGGGATGTGGGATGGAAGGGTAATTCAATCACATCAGTGTCCTCATTCACAGGACAGAGAGGCATAAGCAACTAATGAAATAAGTAAACGCTGAGTTGGAAATTTGTCGTGGTCTCGCTCTCCGAGGGACAACGCAGAGGCGAGGCAAGGAGAGGCGTCAGGGCGGTCCCAGGACAACCTCAATAATCGGAATTGGTCAACCGAGCGGTCACGGGGCACAGAGAGACGAGCAAGGCTACGCAGATGGCACGCAGTTATATCGACGTGTCGTTCGTAGAAGCTGGGCACGTCGGCCGAGGTCAAACTATGGAAGTCACATACACGCACACAAAATCGTTCTGACAAATTTCACAAAACTGATCCAAAAAGCAGGAATCACTCACTCGCCCCGGTTGGTACGGCGCAGTGCTGAAGAAAAAGCAAAACGTCGGAATTAAAATTCATGTGGACTCTGGCTCAGCAACGTCTGTTGGACTTTTGAGGGCTCGCCGTTTTAACAGATTTTGCTAAAGCAACGGACACGACATTACACGACAGCACTCGGACTCCTTTAATTGGTTTCACTTCTACTCTGACCGTGACTGCCCTTCTTGCAGAGAAGGCGTGACGACAGTTTCAGGTCGCACTGTTTTGTTTTTTTTCCTTCCATTTGACTCCCGATAGTTTTGTCGTTCGAGTGAAGTTGGAAGAACGGAAGCTAATTTAATTCCACCGGGCTTCCATCCACCTTTCCAGCAGTGCAACGTTCACCGTTGTGAGACAGTTTATCACCATTACCAGATGACAGCTAAGGGGGGAGCTGTCCTTTTCATGCAGCGCATGAAAATTGCCATTCCGCCGCCGCGTTTCACCTCCGCATTTGATTTCCACCTTCCACCGCTGTGCTGTGGTAGCTTCCCCCGTCTCCATCAAAATGCCTCGTCAATAACAGCTGCCAATAAATCAGTCCATTTGATCCCAGCGTAATTCCCGACTTTGCATTCACGGCAGGCTTTCGCCTTTTGCCATCTGTGCGCTCCCTAATCACTTTCCCGCGATGGGCGGCGCGGTGCTATAAAGCGGCACCTTCAAATTGGAACGCACACATTTTCCACATGGGAAATAAAATAAAGTGGACTGATTTGCTCAGGATCAAAACATTTGGTGATGAGGCTATAAAAAAAAAATAATAATAATAAATTGACTGTGATGGTTACTGTAATGAAATACAACAAACCTCCAAATTGAAACACAATCAATCCATTATGTAGCATTGGTTGGCTTGCAAATTCTTTCAAATTCTTCCCCACGGGAAAATTCCAGGTTCCAATTGTGGCCTCCACCAAAGCTTTGCTAACTGTGCAGGCAATGTTTTAAGAAGCAATTCAACTTCCCTAACTAAGCTTGCATAATAATGAGGCTTCGAAGGTGCCTGACAACCGGCTAACGGAGAGGAAACATCATTCTCATCGCACGCTTCTTTGTTGATATTGGTGCAAAATTCTCTTTTGTCAAAATATCTAGTGTAAGCAAAGCCGATATTCTAAATTCCCATCTTCAATTGTACATAGCGTGTACACAATGTAGTACCTGCGCTCAGGTCACATGGGCCAAGTCGACCAAATCTGTGCCGCCCGCCCGGGTGGCTGAGAGCTCATGACATGATTATCACACTCAAAGGGCAAACATCGAAACGTAGGCGGACCCCCCCCCCCCATTTAAAAATCCATCCCACGGTTGCTTGTCTTTCATTTTCCTGATGCTGCCCCGTCGTCTCGACAGCGAGACTCTTGTCCGAAGAGACCAAGGACTATGAGTCATCGCATCGCCAACCTTGGATTGAATGAAAAAATAAACACCCAGGAAGTGCTCTGAGGTGTGACAAAGTACAGTCTGGCCATGTCAGGCTTGCAAGGCCATCCTCATCATGTGCAAATTCGGAAAGATGGATTTAGGTCTTCTTTTTTGAAAGAGCCTATAATGTCAGCAAGGTAAGAGAAGAAAAAAACATCAAGCCTATGATTTCAGATCGTTTGGCGATTTCTGACAATAAAACTGCTATTTTGAAGCCACAAATGAGCACAAATGAACATTTTGTGCACACCTTCTATCAATGTTGTGGTCAAAAAATCTTGAACTATCGCTCTCATGCCTGCGGTTCTTTAGCTGTGCAGACAGAAAAACACGACAGGATGTGCCTTGTTCCTTTATGGTGACGTTTTTTTTTAACTGAGAGCGAGAGATAGCAAGAGAGAGAAAGGGAGAAAGTAGGCGGGGCTGTGCGCCACGTCTGTGCCAATCGGCGCAGGGCTACCTAATTAAAGCCCTACCAAGTAACCCCCCCCCCCCCCACACACGCACCCACTTTAAATCCTCTTCTTCGGCGCACACCATTGAAAAAACACGCCGTCTTTCTTCCGCACGCACGCAGACTCCTCTGGAGGAGATCGCGCTAAACATGCTCTGCGGGGCTCGGCTCGTGTAAGAGCGGCGAGGTTCAGCGGGGGCATCCTTTCATCCATCCGTCAATCCTTGGCATCCAGACGCTCGGGGCGACCGCGGATGTGCGCGCTGAACAGCTGCAGAAGTCGCGTCTGAAAGCGGGTCGCGAAGGAGCCAGCATCCGCGCGCTTTCGACTCCCCCGGAGCACCCCGAG